ATGACGACGAGATCTCTGTTTCTGACAAGGACGACGGGCTGACGACGGCGTGAGGACGAGACAACGACTGGATGTGAAGAAGAGGTCGACTGGGCGATAACAAAAAGCAACTCGACGGGACACCAACGGGACGCCGGCGGGAGGAAGAGATGACGACTGGACGAGAAGACGATGTCGTCCGGCACGAGGATGGAAGCTGGTTGCAGCAGGAGGCGGAAATCTGGAAGGGAATGGAGGAGGCAGGGATGGAGGAAGTTAGGTCATGAGATTTGGATATGGAATCGACGGATTGGCTTTGCGGTGTGGTCTTGACGGTTTTTGCGGTGCACCGTCGGTTTCACGGTTAGCAACTGAAGACCGCCCGGTTAGCTGCTTCCCCCAATTCTCCCAACCGACACTGCTAACCGCAAGTGATAAATGGTTTTTGGTTAGCCGACTAACCAAAATTATCGGTGCGGTTTTACGGTTAGCCGACTAACCGAAAACCGTTTATCACACCTAATCTTGATCTTTCATATATCAAAATTGATTCACTTAGTGATTTTTTTGACCTTCATGTTCATATAAGCCAACTTTGAGTTTTGAAACCATATTACGACGACCAACCAGGATGTGGTTTCACTTGGTATGATGGAGCGGGCAACTGAAAGAGTAAGAAAACTAAATCACATATACTAGATTTTTACATGGTTCACTAACGCAATGTTCGTGGCTAGTTTATATGTAGGAGAGAGTAATCTCACTATTTTGAGGAGAGTACATATATTACAATGAGATTAGAAAAGTTCTTAATACAGATATATTCACTTAGACTTGAATACAAAAAGCAAAAGAAAATTTGTCTATAAAAAAAAGGAAAAAGTTAATGATGGAAATATGATCTATGAGTGTGGTCCAAGATAGGGTCAGTAACCATTAGTTACTGACCTATCAGTAACCACACGGAAGCCGTAGATCTGGGGATGGAGCAATCGTGTGGCTGGGCTGGATGTGGGGTGGGGAGGGGCATTTTTGTCCGTTTTTTGTATTTTTAATTTTTTTATTCCGCATTTCAATGGTTGGTTTTTCAATGAAAGAGAGAGAATGACATTTTCTCTGCAACTCAACTTTCTTCCTTCTCTCTTCCTTTTTTTCAATCTCTTTACCTCCTTCTGTTTTTTTCCTTTTAGATAATATATATTGATATTATGACTCTATACCATATGGTATTGGGTGGTAACGAAATATATATTGATATTACCACACTATATCCTATGGTAATGTATGGTATTGCGTGGTAACGAAATATATATTGATATTACCACTCTATACCATATGATATTGTGTAATATTACCACACTATATCATATGGTATTGTGTGGTAACGAATATATATTGATATTACCACACTATACCATATGGTATTGGGTGGTAACGAAATATATGTTGATATTACCACACTATACCCTATGGTAATGTATGGTATTGCGTGGTAATAAAATATATATTGATATTACCCCTCTATACCTTATGGTATTGTGTGATATTACCACACTATACCATATGGTATTGGGTGGTAACGAAATATTTATTGATATTATCACACTATACCATACGGTATTGGGTGGTAACGAAATATATATTGATATTACCACACTATACCATATGGTATTGGGTGGTAACGAAATATATATTGATATTACCATACCATGTGGTATGGTCTTATTTAATACCAGTCAATACCATATGTTATAAACTGGGAAAAAAATTTTATGTCCAAAAAATATCAAAGTGAATATCATTTTGAAGAGCACAATTAATCTGATCTAACTGTGCAAAAAAAATTAAATTCCGACTTAAAACGAGTGAGAAATCGTCCGTTAAAGATTAAGAGAAGAAAAATTAAAGATTTTTCGAGGAGAGAGAAGGAGGCGCTGATGTGGTCCGGTCAAAAGTCAGCGTCAGCAATAAATAAGAGTAAGTGCAATTTACCTTACTGCCTTTTCGCATTTAATTTAAATAAAAAAGGGGACTGACACGTGGAGATCAGAGAATGAGTTACTGATGGGTTACTGACCCATCAGTTACTGACATGATCTGCTCCCTATGAGTGTGACCGGTATTTCATAATCATTAATAAACTATTATTCAGGATATTTATTGTAATTAGTAGTATTTGAGTCGTAAAAGGATTGTGAATAGGTTTTCTCGTATTTTCTATAAAAATATATTTTGGATCTTTCAGCAAAGGGAGCAGAAATCATTAGACAAAAGTATTACGCACTTTATGCTTCTCACTTATTTTCTTATTCTCTGAATTTCTAGTCTACTTCTTCCTAAAAGGCCACCAATAGAGGTGGCAATTATAATCCAAATCAATGAATCCAATCCAATCCAATCCAATCCATCAACCAATTTAGCCACCTAATACAATCCATTTAAATCCAATCCATTTGATTCAAATCCAATCGGATTGGTGGATGGATTCATGGATCAATCCATGAATTCAAATGGCAAATTATGTTTGGTACCTATAATTTTTATATTTTTAAACGAAAAATATTGTTGAAAAATTATGATTTGGTACCTAAAATTTTCAAAATTTACATTTTGATCCAAGGTTTGGATGTCATTTGGATTCATGGATCAATCCACCAATCCATTGAATCCAATCCATGAATCCACCAATCCATTTAATCCATTGATCCATTAATCCAATCCACCAATTCATGAACAATCCATTTGCCACTTCTAGCCACCAGCCATTCTCCTTTTGGAGTGATTATTGACCACAATAGAGCTTAGCCTAGAAGCAAGAACATCAACGGCGACCCAATCATTTGTCAAGCCACCATCGGGCATTCAAGCCCTAATTTGCACAAAAATCCCACGAGTCTAAAAGGAGTATGGGTAGAGCTGTCAAAATTGAACCCGAACCAACTAACCCGTCCAATCCACCCGACCCATAACCCGTCCGTAATCCGATTTGACAAAAAATCAACCACCCGAAGCCCGTCCGTAACCCGAAATCAATTGATCCGTAATCCGATCAACCCATAACTCGATGAACTCATTATCAGATCCATAACTATATTAAAAAATGGATAAATTTTGAAGATAATAGGAAGAATTAGACACAAATTCGTATCTCCACTACACATAACTATATTAAAAAATGGGTAATGTCTATTTTTTATCCAAATCTTTTTAAGATTCTTTTATATTATCCAAATCTATTAAAATGATATTAATTAACCAAATATTTCGTAATGCATCAAAATATTAGCTATTTTTAAGTTATCGTTAATAATTTTGTAACTCTTTTCTTAGTTAAAATACTAAAATTTTGCAATATTGACCTTCATGTGTCTCTTCCAAGTTAGTATCACGTTTTCAAGTCAATATTACTAACAAAATTGCTAACTGAAAGTTAACATTTGGCTAATTCTTAGTATTTCGATAGGTTTGGATAATATAAAAGAATCTGAAAAAGGTTTGGATAAAAAATAGACATTATCCTAAAAAAACCAACCCTTGAAAATCAATGAAATCCCCAAAATCAATGATCTAAAGATATATAAGTGGATAGTTTACCCTTTTTACTTCATTCTTAACTTTTTACTGATTTTATTAATTTTTCATAAATTAATAAATTGACGATTCGAACTAGATGATAATATCATATTTGAGAGAACCGTTGTTCGACCCATGAGTTTTAGGATGAGATGTTACCGTGAATATATAAAAAATTGTGAAGATATTTGAGTGGGTGATTCGGAATGATGTTCATAAGTTTTCGTGGAAATGAAGAGACACACATCTAATTCATACTATATTTAATTAAGACGATTCATTTCGAGATGTATAAGCATATAGTCTACCTTTTTTACTTTCATTCTCAAATTTTTACTGATTCACCTTTTTTATAAATTAATAAAATAAGTGAAGTTACAATCTCTCACCATAAACAAAAAAAATTATAACCAACAACAAAGCTTTTATATACACTATTTTATTTACATTTAGTTTTTATACTAACATAATGGATATTTAATTTGTATGATAAAATATTATCATATTATCATTTTCTTAAATTTTGTATCATTACCTACAATTTATATTCATATATTGATAGTTTGTAAAACATTATTTTCTGTCAAGAAGTAAATGATCCAATGGGTTGACCTGAATAACCCATAATCCGACCTGACCGAACCCGAATTAACCCGCAATCCAATAAACCCGTAATTCGATGCAGCCGTAACCCGACCCAATCCGTAACCCAATTGACCAGTGACCTGATTGACTCGTAATCCAATTGACCTGCAACCCAATTAAACCCGATCCAAATTAAACCGACCCGATTAAACTCGTAACCCGATTGAACCCAACCCGATTAGACCCAATCCGAACCCGACCCAACCCGCCCAATTGTCACCTCTAAGTATGGGATTGAGTTTATGCGCAAACGGACAAGAAAAGAAGTATGGTGGTCCAGCCTTGGCCGACCCAGTTGCGGTTCGGGGAACCTTCCTCTTGCCTTAAATGCCAAGTAACTAAAGAGCCTTATTTCGAGTTGGAAGAGAAAAAATCTCTTGTGCCACATCATCTACACCTGAAAATCAGAGTCACATAACATGTATTTTCTACTCGTAATTCATATATTAACTCTTCTTAAAAAAATACTAATTATTTTTTTTATCATTCTATTTTCCTCTAATTCCCAAAATCATAATAAGATCAATTGTATTCTTTAGGTGCACTTTTGATCTTTTCCTTTCATCATTTACAATACACTAAACTACTAATTATCCTAAAGAGAGCGCGTGATGCCATAGTTGACTCCCTGTGACCCATCCCTTTCTCCTCCAAGCCACCAAGAAATAGAAGACAACACCATCATTACAATACAAACTCCCCCCTCTCTTTCTGTCATTTAAATTCCTTTATAAAACCCACATTACCCTCCTCCCACCATTCCGTCTCAACAACCTGATCACAAGCTTCCAACAGAAAGAAAAATGTCGCCACAAACGACAATCGTTTTGCTTCTTCAGGGGCTCTCTCTGTTCTCACTCGTCCTAGCTTCGGACCCCGACCCGGTCCAAGACTTCTGCATCCCCAACCCGACTCCCACATCTCCAACCACACCCAAACACGTCACCGCAGCAACAACAATTCACCCTTGCAAGGACGCGGCGGAGGCCACCGCCGGCGACTTCGTGTTCTCCGGTATGAAAACCCCCGGCAACTTCTCCGAAACAGGGTTCGCATCCATACCCGTCAACCCGACCACCTTCCCGGGTCTCAACACCATGGGGATGTCCTTCGTCCGGGCCGATTTCAAACCCGGAGCGATCAACCCGCCCCATTTCCACCCGCGAGCCACCGAGATCGCCCACGTGGTGGAAGGCAGGCTCTACGCCGGCTTCGTGGATTCCAACAACAAGGTGTTCGCCAGGGTGCTGGAGAAGGGCGAAGTGATGGTGTTCCCCAGGGGTTTGATGCATTTTCAGATGAACGTCGGCGAAGTCCCCGCCACGATTTTCGGGAGCTTCAATAGTCAGAATCCGGGGAGCCAGCGGATCCCGGCGGCGGTGTTCGGGTCCGGGATTGATAATTCGCTGTTGGAGAAGGCTTTCGGGTTGAGTAGCAAGGAGATTGTTATGATGAGAAGGAAGTTTGATCCTAAAGCTACTGTTAAGCCTTAGTTAAAGAGAAAAAAGAAAATAATTTTTACCGAGCAGCATGATGCTCTGTCTTTATTCGGGTAACATTTTTTTCAGAATTATGTACCATGTTCGTTTTTGGTTGTACTCTGTAGTTTCGATGTGTTAAAAAAAGGTATCATCTGCATGCTCTGTTCTGTGGTTATGAGGATTGTAGATTAACCCTTTTCCTCTCTCATTTAGGTGCAGTAGCCACGATGTAGAAGGTGGATTAGGAAGTGGTGTTAGGTAGAGTTATATGATTGGTTTGGGTTTTGGTTTTGGTATTGGGAGTGGGTGTGGGGGTTTCATTTCATTATTTGGAAGGTGTCTTTGAAATCACTTCATACGCACGCTCTGTTTCTTTTCAATTCTTGCTACTCAGGGTTTTGTGACGTGGGGAGCATTATATATAGGAGGAGGATCTACATCATGATCACCAGAGCATGTGAAATGGAGGCAATAATGCCACCTTTTTTTCCCACTACCTAAGATCAATCAATGTTTTCAACAACCAATATTGCACAACAATATATGGCTCCCAAAGCTGAAACTAAAACAACATGTCACCAAATGCTTTGAATTTACCAGCCTGGTAAAGAACTGAGGTTCAATTCAACGACAAGTCTCGCGCGCACACAGGCCTGTGAAAGCTTACTGCTTGCCATTCACCATCGTCTTCACAATGGTGTCAGCCATCCAATCGACATGGGGGAAAAAGTGTCCAGAACCAGCCAGCTCGTGGTACCGAATCCAAGAAGAATGGCGATCCGCAATGTAGCGCTGCAGTGTAGCAGGCACCAGAGTGTCTTCGTCTCCTTGCCACAGATGCGCATAGACTTCCTCGCCCGTGAAAGGGTTCTCCATCTCCACAGGATCGAACTCCCACGTCCCAAATCCTAAGTTCAGGTCACGGTGGAGAGACTCGTACTCTCCTTGCGGCCTTACATGCTCCTAGTAACAACATTAAATGATAGCATTAACTGCCTAGCTTATCAAATCGATAATACAGCTAGAGCCAAGCCGTTCAACTTGCACCATTGTTGTTAAGCAGATAGAAGAAACAGAAGGGGGTAAAAAAAAAAAAGCTACAAGGGAAACATTCCAGCACAGATGGAAAATTACCCTATGACTAGCCCCTTTAGCTATAAGCTTCGCCATAACTTCTCTTTCTTCACGAGAAAGAACATGAGGTCTTGTTGCACCAAGACTTGGAAACCAGTTTTGGGTATTCCACCAATGAGTTAACCAGGGAGCATAATGAGCCACACGAAGAGACCAGTAGTCACAAGTTGGTTGTTGGTACAAGGCTTCAGTAGATAAGTTGGAAGGAAAACCAGGCCACCAGTAGTTACTGGCTGGGGCCAACAATGTCACCCCTGCAAGCCTGAAGATTGTTGGCAGGCAAAGGAAAACAAGAAGCCAATAAGAAAAAAAAGCATCAAAATGCAAACATCTAATCTGCTGAATCGGCATCTACAAACTTTACCTGTGAGGAATGTACTTCAGGCAGCCCCATCCTATCTGTCCGCCAAGCGAATAACCGATTAAGTAGAATTTAGTCCCCAGTCCCAATTGATCAGCAAGCTCTTCTATGTCGAACGCCTGGCTCTTCACTGTTCTTGATGGATGGGGATCACTCTCCCCATAACCAGGTCTGTCGTACGACACGAAATAGATCCCCAACTCCTCGACAAGTTCCTGACCAGAAAGCATGATTAAAGAATATCAAACGATGACAATAGCTGAAGCATGATGAGGCTAAGCCACAAAGCAAATAAACATACATACCGGAGAAGTGTAAGTGGCAATGACATCATCCAGCCTACAGACGTCGAATCCATGGATGAAGACGACTTTAATCTTGGCAACATCCTTTGACACTCCACGTTCTTGGTAAGCCAAATGCCTTCCATCACGAAGCTGGATTCTCGATGCTGTGACTGGCGGTCCGTCACAAGAACCACATATCTTGGGCGGAGGTGGTTGGATTGCTTGGTAACCCCAAGCCACTAGCCCAGCCAGTAGAAGTAACAGTACTGCAGGAAAGATCCCTGGAAATACATAAACAACTGGTTCGGATATTCTCAATTGCTCTCTCATTGCTTGTTGAAACAAAATTTCTGGACTTTATCATACACATAAAACAGGAGCGGAAATTGCCAACCTGAAGGGAGGGTAAGGCCGGAGCTCTTGTTAGCTCTTCTAGTGTGAGACCTTGCCGAGGCAGCAGATATCTTCCTGTTGGTTCCTGCCGCCATTGTCAGATTTAAATGTCTCGAGAGAGGGGAGATGACCGATCTGGGTTGGCCTGAAATATAGACCAACAGGGTATTGCATGTGGAGAAATTTTGGGCGCTGACTTGCTGCAACTGAGGAGCTTTCCTTAGCTTGCCCTCTTGATCATTTAAATTTTGAAACAGTAATATATACCAAAACTTGAAACTCACCGGCCCGCTCAATGACTCATACGAGTTGAAACTGCAGGCGGATCAAGTTACCGATTATTTCTCATAAATGTGTAAGAAACCCACTTTTAGGGCCTCTCAGATTCTGATATTCGGCACGCGTAATTAGTGATTTAGAAGATAAAATTGAGAAGAATAAGGAAGAACAACCAAAATCTTTAGGGAGAAATAGACGAGATTCAAAGGATTAGGAGAATAGGGTTTTAGAGATATTTGTGTAATACTTTTACGATTAATTCTCAATGAAACCCCAAGTACATTTTTATAAGAAATAATCCCCAAAAACCTAACAATTAACCCTACCTACTCGGCTACATTAGCCGCCTAACCTTACCAATCCAGTAATCCTAACAATATTAATTATAATTTATACTAATAGTTGATATTTCTAACAATCCACTCTCCTTGAAAACTACTTTGTGTTGAAGGTTGCAGTCAACTTCCGCTTTCTTTGTTTCCAATTGGGCTCCATCTTATGAAAGAACCTCTTTCCAGCAATTCCGACTTTCTTCGACTCTTCACTCGCCATGTGACACCCATCACCATGTCTTCCCGCCATACATTTCTCGAGAGATAGCCGAGATTTAGAGGATTAGAAGAATAGGGTTCTAGAGATATTTGCTTAATACTTTTCTAATTAATTCTCAATGAAACCCAAGTACATGTTTATAGGACATAAACCCCAAAAACCTAACAATTAGCCCTACCTACTCGGCTACATTAGCCGCCTAACTCTACTAATTCTAACAATATTAATTATAATTATTATAACAATTTATATTTCTTACAATCCACCCTTCTTGAAAGCGAACTTGAACTCAAGGTTGCAGTCAACTTTCGTTTTCAATTACGCTCCATCTCATGAATGAACCTTTGTCCAGCAACTCCAACTAGCTTCGACTCTTCACTCGCCATGGGACACCCATCATCCTAAATACCGAATAACACTCCAAAATGAATTATACTCCAAATTCCTGAAAAATAGGGCGACATTTGGTAATATCAAATAGTGATAATTCGATACGATATTCGGTATATCACAAATACTGGTACCAAACTTCCAACCCTACCCTCCATACCGTTCATGCTGTTCTCTTTTGAAGTCCGCAAAATAAGAATTAGAGAATTATTTTTCTTGTGCACTTTATCGTCCGCATAATATCAACAGTAGTGCAGGAAAGATCCCTGAAAATATATAAAACTTCTGGTTCAGATATTCTCAATAGTCAATTGCTCTCTCATTGCTTGTTGAAACAAAATTTATAGACTTTATCATACACATAAAACAGGGGGCGGAATTGGCGATGAATGCTATAAGATCGTCAGCAAAGCATGCATATACAAAATCCGATTCTGAGCGACAAATATCGGGTAAGGAAACCAACCTGAAGGGAGGGTAAGGCCGGAGCTCTGGTTAGCTCTTCTAGTGTGAGACCTTGCCGAGGCAACAGAGATACCTTCCTACTGGTTGCTGCCGCCATTATCAGATTTAGATGTCCCGAGAGAAGGGAGATGATCGATCTGGGTTGGCCTGAAATATACCAACAGGCTGTTGCATGTGGGGGAAATTTGGGCGCTGACTTGCTGCCTGCAACTGAGGAGCTCTCCTTAGCTCGCCCTCTCAATCATTTAATTTAAAACAATAATAATATACTAGGGTGTGCCCCGGCCAGTTGGCTAAAAGAAGGTGAGGTATGAAATTTGAGAATATAATGGGGTGTATAGTTTATTTGTATAGTTTTTTTTTGAAACTCGTGATAATTAAAGATTAGGGATGACAATTGCCCACCCATGGGTAATTATACCCAAACACAAGTAGATCCATTGATAATGGGTTGGGTATGGGTAGGATGGTAACAAATCCCGAACCCACGGGTACCCTCCCAACCCGGTCAACGCGGGTAAAATCCGTGTTGACGGGTTTTTGGTCGGGTTCGGGTTTAAACCCGTTTACTATTCATCAGGTTGGGTTTGGGTTTAGGTAAACCCGTCCCATGGGTACCCGCCCACACCCATATAATTAATTTTCTCGGTATATTTAATATTCTAAACAACTAATCTTATTTATGTTTGTGGAGACATGTCTAATTTTTTCTTTCTAATTGTGTAGAATGAAGTTGTTGTTATCGAGTGGAGAGTGAAGAAACTTAATTGACAAGGAGGAAGAAGCTTTCAATTAGTCATGTCATTTATGGATAATTTGTGATTTGCTTCAGTTTTTTTGAGTTTTCTAGATTGGTGTTGAACAATTTGTATAGTTAATTTGTGATTTGCTTGAATTTTCTAGAATGGTGTTTTATATATGGATAATTTGTATTGAGAGATTGATATTTTACTTTAATTTTGATAGAAACTTGTTATTGTAAATTTTTTATAACAAAAACCCGTGGGTACCCATGAACCCGCAGATACCCAGCGGGTTGGGTGTCACTTTTTCAAACCCAGTGGGTTTTACCCAGGGTTTTTTACACAGATAAACCCATGAGTTTGGGTTTGGGTTTGGCAAAACCCGACCCAACCCGACCCATTGCCATCCCTATGTATGGGTGAAGTGCATATGGGTTTGGGGTTTGTAGATAGGTTAGGTGTGAGTATGGATATTGCTTCCATAATCTAAATGAGTATGGGTTGGATATGATGGTTGACCCACTTTGACCCTGGCCCGATAAGAAAAACGGCCGCACGCACCCGCCGGGTCGACATCTACAAGGTACCGGGTTTGAGGTCAAATTTTGTCATTTTTTTCTTTGATTTGCGAAATGCGCCTATTTTCCGATTTTTCTTTTCGTCTAACTCAATCTTTGGAATCCTAAGTTGAACATTTGAATATTGATGTTATATACTCGTGTGTGAATTTTCACTATATGTTGGATCTAAGTACGACATGTTATTTTTGTGTAATATTATATGTAATAAATCATATGTTAGATGAGATTTTATATAATTTATCAGGATAAGTACAATATAATGACTCTTTCCATATTTCCAAGCTAAACCGGGCTAAAATGGGTGACCCATTAACCCTTGACCCACTAGTTTGACCGGGTCCGGGTCAGCCCGTGGGTTGATAACCTCATATGAATATCTATTTACTTGAGTGTGTTTTAACTACACATATAAAAATAAGACCTATTTGTAAAACATGAAAATTTTAGGTACCAAAACGTAATTTTCCATCGATATTTTGGGGACTTATATGCAAAAAATTAATTTTAGGTACTAAATATGTATATATATTAAGTTTAGGTACCAAACTATAATTTACATTTGGGCATGGGTACAAACCTAAATCCATTTGTTAAAAACCCAGCCCAACCCAAGTAAATGAGTATGGCTACAAACCCATCAAGCTCTAACCATATCCGTCTATTTGGATTTCATAACCAACCCAATTGGATTGGATAATAAAATACCCATGGGTATGAGTAAAATTGACATCCTTAAATCCCTAATAAAGATAGTGAATTTTAGCAGGAAAGAGACATGGATGATGCAACAAATCAAAAATCAGCCTTATGAACCAAAATCAAATTCTTGTTACCTTGTGAAACAATATTATTTCTGGTAATATGATGAGCTGGAGTAAGTTTTATAGAAACCGAATTCCAGAAAATCGAATAAAAAATCGCCTATCCCACCGGTCTTCCAGAAATGAGCATCTCACATTCGTTGCTAGCTTTTACTCGGCCCGTCGGCCGATTAATTTGCTTTATATAACTTTCATCTTTTCGTCATTGTGCTTTCTGATTTTTGCCAGGCCATGATAAAATCTATAGAAATCAAGAACGAACAACACGATTTGGGATAGGAACCGTCGTTCCTGTATCCCTAGAAAATGGTGGTAAACACGAACTCAGCTGCCGAACTGGTTTGGATGAGATTTTTATCGGGTATCAGGGAACCATGCGATTATAAATTAGGCTTGATATAAACAGGCCAAAACTTGAAATTCAGCCTGTTTTACATATTCATGTCAAATTCTAATTATTCTTTACTTTTAAACTTTCTATTTGAAAATAAAAAATAGTGAAAGGAAACAGATAACTACAATTCGTCATTTGGACATCATTGACTCGGTAATAAAACCATAGAAATTCGAAAGGAAACTGAAAATGTTTAGGATCATTTTAATGTTAAAAATAACCAAAGGGATCTTTCTTTTTAGTTTTTTACTAAAAAATACCAAACAATTCCCTATAAAACACACTATAATTTAATCATTATGATATCAAATAATCACATAATATATATTTGAAATGATAAAAGTTGGAATAATTTGGTTAGTCGAGGTTGAACTAATAACTTTAAAATACGTTATATTTTAGCCACTAAGATATAAAATAATAACATAATATATGTTATGCTAGAGAAAATGGCTTATTTTAGGATGACAAACCCATGATGTTCATTTGTTTTACTTGATGGCCAAATCCCGAATAGGTCAGGCCCATTCAACTCTTTTATTTTATGGTTAGCGGTTAGCCCATTATAATCCATGCATTAGTTTATTGTTAAATTTTTTCTTTTTAGCAATAAAAATGAGTATTGTTTTTTCCCTTTCATATATATCTTACCAACACCGAGAAATAAAAGGGCTTAAAGAAATCTGTTCTATTTTTGTGGGTCGCAACAATTCTTGGGCCCGTTTAAATCTGCATGTGTACGGTAAGTTGGCCTGTTCCACAGAGTAAAGAGAAAAAAATTGACACTCTCTATTCTACCCTTCCTACAAACGCTGCTGGAGCAGGGAATTTGAAATAGGGGAAGAGTTTTTTCCTCCCTGCTATTATATTATGTGTAGAAACACTATTATCCAGAAGTATAAAAAGATAAGCAAAAAGGCGACAAATAGCCAGACAATGGAAAAACCAGCATAGGAATACCTTGCTAGCTCTAGGGACTCTCTGTCACAATAAACAACCCTCTAGAAAATCCAAAACCTTGAGACATCAAACAAACCTCCCACGACATTAATGTACGGCATGCACATTTTCCAACATGTTTGTCCAATTTAAACTTCAAAACGAATTTCAAGCATTGGAATAATTCTAAATAAATAAAATTTTCACCATTAAACCAAAATTCAAAATCATTAACAGTTAATGTAAAGAATACATTTCTCAGGCCTATTACGACATTTAACTAAACGATATAGTAGAATGGATTCAATCTGTTTCGTACTAATGATATAAACGTATACTGGTACAATCGT